GCCCTGGGTTCTTTCCCTCCTCGTCCTTTTATAGGTACTCGCCAGCTCTCCAACCTGGGAAACTCCAATTATCAGAACCACTGCTCTCTGCCGGCCTGAGTACCCCGATCCCCGCCAGGTGCGGAGACTGAAACCCCACCGGAAGCCCCCCAAAGGACACCCGGGTTGGAGCGGGGCCTCGCTGGCACTCTGGAAAGCGGCCCCCCCTGTGGGACCTGCGCCCTCTGCGGCGCGCGCGGCATCCGATCTGAGAAATGCGCCCTGGGCCACAGGCGGCCGAGGGGGCGGGGAAGGAACAACTTTCCCTCCGCCTTCCAACCGCAGGGCCGGGGTGGGGCGGCCTCGCCGGGGTCGGGATCCCGGGCGCGAGCGGGCCGGGCGGCTGGCGTGGGGGCGGGAGTGGAGGGCGCTAGGGGCTTCCTTGTCGCCCCAGCCCCGCCAGATGTTGGAAAGCACACAATAGGGGGGACGCGGGGAAACAAAAGGCCATTCGCCAGGACCTCGATGGCCTCTGTCGCGTGGTCCCCAAGAAAAGGACGTCTGGGGGCTGTGTGTGTAGGGGGGAGGGGGAGAGTGGGGGTCAGGAAGGTGGGTGCCAGGGCATCCTGAGGAGCTCGGGGTCTCTGTACTTGCTTAGCAGGAGCCTGGGGTGGGCCGTTTACCCTCCCGGGAGGGGTCCCAAGGCAGGGAGGAACAATCCAAGGAAAGTTAAAGGGTTTTCACCTTTTTCCTCAAAGAGGGAAAGGGAGGAGCGGGATTGCAGACGTTTGACAGTTGTCGGCCCTGGGGTTCAGCGGGATTTGTAGGTGCTTTACACACCCTTGCCCGCCCCCCCCCTCGCCCCCAAGAAGCATCCACAGTTCAGGGGCGACCAGGCAGACGCAGCGCCGTTCCCCTCCGAAGCCCCACGCCGAGCCTCCTGCTAAATCAAGGCGCCCCAAACGGCGCCCCAAACGTCGCCCCTGCCCGGCGCACTTTTGTAAAAGTTTGTCTTCCCGCCACCCACAGCCCAGCACGCACCCTGCAGTCGTCTGCGACTCGCGCCGGGTTCGGGGACAGACTTGTACCCCGAAAGAAGCTGGGTTATGTTGATAAATCTTTTAAAATCCAGGCCCCGGACCCAGGGTGGGGACCAGGAAGGACGCGCGAGGAGCCGGCCGGGAGCCAAGCCGTGGGCAGGCGGGGAAGCGGGGTCCGCCACCTCCCGACCCTTCCCCCCCTCACCTCCACCCCCCTGCTCCCCGTCGCACCCGCTCCCAGGTGCGCCCAGCACCTCTGCCCGCCTGGGCGCGACCGGGCGTGAGCAGCTGCCGGGCGGCGCCACCTCCGCCCTCGCTGGGAGCGTGTGCTCACTCACCGCGGGGTTTTACCTTCGGCCCGGGGCCCTGTCGGCTTCCTGCGCCGGGTGAGCTGCAGCGGCAGAGGGAAGAGGGCGAGCTCGGGGCAGGAGACGGGACTCCTGGGGAGCCACGCCGGTCTCCGGGGCAGCGAGCGCGGGGCTCCGGCTGCAGGCTCTCTGCGCCCAAGTAGCCCCCACACGCTCTCGGCGCGCGGCTGGCGCGCGGGGGCGCCGAGCGGGGACCCTCTGGCGGCCGCTCGCGGAATGGCAGCTCCGTGGGGGAAAGGAGTCAGGTCGCCCTGGGGTCATCTTCCCTCGGGAAAGAGGTGGGGAGTGGACAGTCTACCGGGGCTCACAGCTTTCAGGAAAGGCATTGACCCTCTGGCCAGGAGGGCGAGGGAGGTATCAGACCAGAAAGGATGCGTTCTGGGCCCACAAGGCCACATCCAAGGCACCAGGGCACCTGGAGAGGGGGAATCCTTTATCTTCTCCGAGATTTTCTGACTTGACGGCCTCACAGAGGGGAGCATTCATCACGGGGAAATACTTTGAGATTGTGCCGGATTTATTTGAACAGGCTGGGAGTAATGAAATGAACATGGGCTTCGAAGGCCCACCCCCCACCTGCCACTTTCTATGTGAGTGATCTTCATCAGTATTCCGCTCTGTAAATTGGGGAGAGCACTGTCTACCTGCAGGGTGTTTGTACGGGGTAAACTAAACATAAAAAGTATTCCTCGCCGAAACCGGTTTGGCTCAGTGGATAGAGCGTCGGCCTGCGGACTGAAGGGTCCCGGGTTCGATTCCGGTCGGGGGCGTGTGCCTGGGTTGCGGGCACATCCCTGGTGGGAGATGTGCAGGAGGCAGCTGATTGGTGTTTCTCTCTCATCGATGTTTCTAACTCTCTATCTCTCTCCCTTCCTCTCTGTAAAAAATCAATAAAATATATCTTTAAAAAAAAGTATTCCTCATTCATAGTAGTAGTCATTCAATGTAAGCTTCTTGAAGAAAAGAATTCATCTTCCCCATCTCTCTATCCCCATACATTTGCATCTTAATGCACGCCAATTGAGCGTTATGACTCAAGTATTACAGTTGACCAGATGACTAAGTATTACAGTTTACAATTCTTGCTACACAATTTAAAGAGTTATGAAAATATGTTAAATAGAAATTAGGATATATGTATAGAAAGCATCCCTCCCTCCACCCCCAAAGTGGTTTCCGCTACTATGAATGAGAACCTCTAAAACCACACACATGTTTTGCAATACCAAGTTCTTTCTAGTGTTGAGAGAAATATTTAATATATAGTCATCATTTCATGATATTAACCCTGGATTAAATGATTCCATGTAATTCTGTGTCATTTGGGCAATTGAAAGATATTGGAGATTCTGAGTATAAAACTCAAACATGAGGGGGGGGGGGACGAAACAGAAACAAAAACCCAGCCACCAAGCAATGTCTCTGTTCATCACCGAGTAATGCCATCTCATTTCCAAACTGCCTCAAGTCCCAGTCACAGCTTTTAAAGCTCCTTTGGATCTTTTAGCCTCACAGCAATCAGTGAACTTCATCATCCAGAACAATTAGAAGCAGTATCTCTTAATCATTGCAGGTTACCTTTAACGGCCCTGCTCTGTCACTCAGTAGTCCCTGATTGGGAAGAGGCTGTTGCTTGCCCAAGAATTCCGTCCTGTCCCGAAGAGATGAAAAAACAAAGTTTCTTGCCTCAGAACCTAAGGCAGAACATTGAGATCCAACTTCTACCGTTGGAGAGAGGTTCACCCTCCAGGGAGCAGGTGAGCAGGGCTCGCAGTGGGAAGAGGGCATCCGGGTCTAACCACAAACACGAATGGAACTGTCTCTCTTTCACCTTGCTCGGAGGGCAAAGAAAACCTTTATCCCACTTCCACACCCTCATTCCTTCCCTGGGGAGGAATGGTGACGCTGTGATGGGGAGGAACTTCGGTATTTCCTGGAGAATTTTCACCAGGGTGTGGGGTCAGTGTGATAAATGGTGCCCCGGCTCTCACCCACTCTGTACAGCTGCTCAGCCTGTTACCTGGTGGCTGGAGGAGGATAGGCCAGCGTTTAAAATCCAAGCCCTTCTTGGTCCTCCTGTGTCTTAGTTCAGGCTGCTATAACAAAACACCCTAGACTGGGTGACTTTTAAACAAGGGAAATTTATTTCTCACCGTTCTGGAGGCTGAGAAGTCCAAGATCAAGGCACGGCAGATTCGGTGAGGATACACGGTGTTGCTATATCCTCACATAGAAGGGGGCCGGGAAGCTTTCTCGGGCCTCATTTATCCCGGCACTAATCCCATTTATAAGAGCTATGTCCTTATGACCTTCCAAAGGTCCCACCTCCAAATATGACCACCTTCGGGTAAGGATTCAACATATGAATTTTGGGAGGACACAAACATTCCATCTACACATCCTGGGCTACATCTGACTCTCCAATCGAGCTCTTATCAGAACCTTGCATTGACTCTATCATGAACTGAACAAGATACTGCTTATTTCTGGCTGCTAATCCTCATGTGTACGCTTCCTTGCTTCTGTAGAAAAGCGAGCTGAAGGGAAGGGTTGGGGAGGGGAGTTCAGGTACCAAAGTTCACCCAAACTGAACTGATCCTCCACTTCCAACTAGTTCCATCTGCTGTCTTTTTCCCTCAGTGAATGGCCACTTCACCTTCCAGTCCTGTAAGGGCCCAAATTACAGAATCATGTGTAACTTTTCTCCCTTTCTATTCCATCTGTCATCTGTCAGCAAGTTTTGTTGGTTTTACCTTCAAAGGTGCCGCCACCCTGGTCTAAGCCACAGATACCTATAGCCTCCTAACTAGTCCCCGCTTCTCCCCTCTCCCATATGGTCTATTCCCAGTACAACAGCCAGTGTAGTTCCGTTAAAATCTATGCTACATTAGGTCACTCTGCTACTCAAAATCCTCTTGGTGCTTCTTACTCAGAGTAAAACCAACACAAACAGGCATCCCTTTATCACTGACCTTGTTGCCTACCGCCTTCCTTGTCACAGTCCCAGGACATCCACACTGCCCTCTGTGGTTCCTCGAAATGCCAGGTAGGCTCCCACTGCAGGGCCTTATTCTTGCTGTGCCTTCAGCCAGGAACACTCTTTCCTCAGATACTTCGTGACTGACAAGCTCACCTCCTTCAGCTATTTGTTCAAAAGTCACCAGGGGCCTCCCCTTTCAACTCTGTCTAAAATTACAATCACCCTTCTAACACTTGCCATCCGCATTCCCTGCTCCAATTTTCTGCACATAATTTATTGCATCTGGTTTCTGATATATATAAACTGCCTGTCTTTCCAGGGCGGCTGTAACAAACTTAGTGGCTTAAAACGGTTGAAATTTATGATCTTAGAGTTCAGAAGGTTAAAAGTCTCAGTTCTCATAGGGCTGACATCAAGGTGCGGGCAGGGCTGCATTCCTTTTGAAGTCTATAGGGGAGAATCAGTTTCCTTGTTTTTATCAGCTTGTAGAGCCCTCCTGCATTCCTTGACTCACAGTCCCCTTTCTCTATCTTCAAAACTATCAACAGCGGTGGAATCCTTTCCATGTGACATCAGTCTGATCTTTCTGTTTCCCTCTCCTCCTTATAAGGGCTCTTGTGATTACAGTGAGGCCTCCAAATAATGCAGGATTGTCATCCTGGGTGGAGGCCAGCTGATTAGCAACCTTAATTCCACCTGCAGCCTAATCCCCCTTTGCCACATAATGTAACATAGTCACAGGCTATGGAGATAAGAATATGAACATCTTTGGGGGCCACGATTTTGTTTGCCACACAGCCTTACTCTTTCAATTAGAGTATAAATTTCACAAGACAGGGATCTTTGTCTGTTTTGCTTCTTGCTCTATCCCTAGACTAGCTCAACAAATGTGTAGGTACTTGCTATGGACTGACCCAAATTCATACTAGTATGTTGAAGCCCTACTCCTCAATATGATGGTATTTGGAGATGGGGCCTTTGGGAGGCAATTAGGGTTAAATTAACTGAGGGGTGGGGGTGGGGGGCTCATAATGAGATGACTGGACTGGACTTATAAGAAAACAAAAGGAAATCGGTCTCTCTCTCTCTCTCTCTCTCTCTCTCTCTCTCTTTCATGTGAGGATACTGCGAGAAGGTGGCCATCTACAAGCCAGGAAGAGAATCCTCACTAGGAACCAAATTGTCAGCCAGCATGATCTTAGCCTTCCTCCCTTTAGCACTGTGAGAGGCAAATGTTTATTGTTTAAGCCATCCAGTCTACAGTATATTTTTTATGGTAGCCTGTGCAGACTACTACAGCACTCAATAAACATTTATTAAATAATTATTGAGGAGACCTTATCATAGGCACTATAAATAGTGATCAACTATTATGCACCTACAGTATGCCAGGTACTTGCTAAACACTTTACATGAAACATCTCATTGAATTCTCACAAGGCAGCTTACTAACAAACAGCAGAGCCCTTCCTTTCATTCTAACTATCCTATGTGGCAGGTCCAGGTGAAAAAATTATAGAATAGAAAGTTGAAGTAACTAACTTAAGGTCATGTAGCTAGTACACTGTGTAAGCAGGTTTTAGACTTGGCAGTGGGACTTAAGTCCATGGCTGTAACCCTGATGCTCCCCTATCCCTATCATGTGGCCATGGGCAGCCCTGGGTCTTGCCCTCGAGATGCTTACAATCCAATAAAAATGATGAGATACACAAATAGCAATAATATGAAGAAGACCATTGGGGGTGATAAATTTCTGTGGAGCATAGAGGGAAAGGTTAATTCTGGATTAAGTTGATTGTAGGGAGTTTCAGGGAGAATGTCGCATCTGAGCTTAAAGATGGTGAACATTATTGGAGTTAGACAGAAAGTTTGTTTCAGATAGAGAGAACCACTGGAGTAAAGACACAGGAAGGTAGAAAAGTGCTAGATGTGTTCTGGAAATCAAGATTAGTCTACCTCGTATGAGAACCAGGCCTGTCGTTAGAGGATAAGGGCTAGGATTCCAAAGAAAAGTTAATAATTCTTGTTAACAGATGTTAATGGAGAAAAACTACCTGAGGGAACTGTCAAAGTAATGTCTGAAGCTGTAACTCAAAAGGCAACGAGTAATGAGAAACATGAACTTCTTGCTGGGCAAAATGTTTTCAGAGGCTGCTCACTCTGACTGCACATTATAGAAGGGCATTCATGGACCCTCATTCTGGGTCCGGGGCACAGTCTCATGTATCTTAGACTCAAAATGTTCTCAAAGAGATCAGAAATAGATACTGAGACAACTGGGCTACCCTGACCTTTGGACAGGAATGGTTTCCACCATTCCATTTCAGAGATGAAGTGAGTAAGGCAGGAAGGATTGAGTGACTTGCACAATATTATGCAACCAGTAGATTGGGACAAAGATTCAGAGTCTCATGACTATTAGTGCTCTGTGCATCCTGGTATATAAGTGGAAAAGACACAACCGTGCATGTGTCCAACACCAAGTTGTCAGCTTTTAGGCTGCTTCAGACGGTCCTCTCCAGATTCCTATGAAATATATCCAAAGGCCTCGGACGGGAACACTCATGAATCTCCTTTTCAAGCTCTTCTAGGGAAAATAGCAGAACCAGCAGCACCTGAAAGATGCATTGCAGACAGACAAGGTGCATGGCGGTTAAGAGAAAGGGCCTCGGGGTCGGAAAGGCTCAGGCCAGCAGTGCCTAACGTCTCCAGGTCTCAGCTACCTCATCTTATGCAATGGGGATAGTCAC